CTTGTATAAGCTATATTGGCTTACAACATACAGTGTACATTGTGTTGCGTGGCGTGGCGTGGCATGGGTTTTATTTTGAAGACAAGCATCTGAATCAAAGGTTGGCCAGGGAAAATGCTCGGAAAAGGTGGTTAGCTACTCGGGTCAATTTTTCATTTCATGTTCTGTCATCTAATGCGAAGGACAATTTATTTAATTTCTCATTTTACTGATGTGTTCTTGACCATAGTTTCTTGTAAGTTGCACAAAACATGGCCAGATATGTACCATCTAGATTGTCATTGCTCTGGCGATCGGAATATGCAGTTGATTGCCAAAACTGAGCAGGAATTATTTGGGGGGAAATGGGGTGGGGCTGCTACGATTGACACAACATTTAGATTGACTGCAGTATTATTACTGTCACTCACACCTGAAATTAGTGTGAGAAGTGCACAATTTTCACAGTTTGGCAAGCTTTCATGTTCTCATCGGTATTGGTGATAATTTGTTTCTGCCATGTAGATAAATTTTCTCACAAATTTTTGTTGACCTTTGATAATTCTTACCACTTATCAGTGGAAATTTTGATTCTCGTCATTAAACTATTTTATTTCTAAATTCCACCAATCTGAAAACAAATTTTGGCCCACCGTTGACATAGCAACAGCCAAAAAACTGATTTTTGGATAGCTTCGTGCCAAATGTATCTACAAATTTGGGATAAAACACCTCAGATATAGCTCATTCTACTCAGCTTGAGTGTGGGCACAAAGTTACTATTTAAATTTTTGATATCTTTTTTTCGTTACCGAGAAATTTGACCCCAATTGGATAATTGGCCCACCGCTGCAACAAAAAAACTGATTTTTGAATACTTGCATATTTATTACCTCATTTGTATAATTAGTAAATTTTTTGGATTTTCCACTGATATTTCTAGTAATAATCATTACATACATTTCAATAAAACTTGATACATAGATGCTCCATGAATATTCACAGACCTGATTAGTTTTGGGTTAAAAATCAATGCATATTTAATAATAACCTTGTACCATTCAACAGATTTTGATGAAACATGGTACATAGATGCCCTGGGATAATATGCAAACCTGACTAGTTTTGGGTTGAAATCATTGTGATACAAGTACTGCTGCTGATAGGGATATGCAACTGGTGCTATAATTTTGTCTGACAAGATATATGACCAAAATATTAAGTCATCATTATATATGGTCATTATTTCATAATTTATAATTGTTAAACCATACATGTAGCTATTGGAACCCCCCTGATCATTGCTTGCAGTTATATTTTTAAATGCTGTATTTATTCTAATAGAAGTACATGTGTAACTTCATGTCTCCAATAGCTTCTGTCTAAGCTTCCTTTGATTTTCATTTTGAACAAGTGTATACATTTTTTTTTTAAATACTGTAAGGGGGTAATTATTCACTGGGTTTTAATTTAGCTTATTTTGCTGACTGGAAAATGCGCTAAATTAAAACCCAGTGAATATGTAAAATTTAGCATAGAACACATTATCTAAATGACGAAACCGTGAATTTAAAACCCACTGAAAATTAGTCATTTTACAGTATTTTTTGTGCCAGATGACAGTTCTGGACATTGAGTGTCACTGTTGTTTCTCCTGACATTTTTTTTCTATGTGCAAATTGCAAGTGCTAGTGCCGACACATAGTGTATACATAAGATCATGTGAGTTGCAACCCTCTGTGGTGTTCCAAACCCATCACGCACCTGACAGAACGATGTAGTTTTTCACTTCCCTGATGATTTCTTGTCGGTGCAAATCAAATTGCAGGAACGTCAGATAGTGACAGTCATCAAAGAGTAACCATTCACGGCAGAGTTTATTTGTTTGCTGACATAATGTGTGATAAGGTGCTGGCAAATTCACACCAAATGTTGTTGTTTAAAACAGTCTGTGATTCTTGCCGACAATGCAAACACGGGTTTGATTGAAGGTGCTACCATGACCACCAAAATGAATATTTATTGAAACTCATTACAAGAAGACTGGAGCTTTGCGAATTCACAGTATTGATCTTGCCAATGAGACATACATTATTTTGTCAGGCATTAGTGGTGTCTGATGCGGTGTCTGATGCCTTTCGGCCGGCAAGTGTGCCACTCACACCTATATGCAGGCCCAATGTGTACACTTCCTGCTGCATCTTCGCCAGTGAAGCTTTGCTTATTCAGTCATCACTTCAACTTTACACTGAGCATAATTTACTAGAATGGAAACGAAAAATAAGTAAATCATATTGATTGGAACATTGGCACAGTTCTAGAAGCCGTACCTACACACGAATTGGTGACGCCACCTTCAATCAGGGTCACTTCCTCGATATATACGAATTACAATAAAGATACTCAAGACATTACACATAAGGTGGAACAAATCACGTGTCAATATAATGATAATAACTGTAATAAATCCTAGTTTAACAGTTGAACAGAACGATCATATAGTCAGTGGGGTCACGCCAAGGGTCACGCACTTCGTTGCAAAATGGCCGTGTGGTTGAAACTGGGTCATGGCGTGACGGGTGAGGAAGACATCATTAAACAATCACAAAATTACAATAAAATGGGGAAGTGGTTGCATATTACAGTGTAGCCAACATGGGAAATGAAAAAACGCTCAATATAAACACCATGGGTTTGAATCCTACTAGATACACACTCGCCGGAACCAAAGCGATCGGAAACCAGCAATCGTTTGGCTTTCCTGTTCAACTCATCGGAACATTGAAGTAGTTAGCAAAATGAACACCACTCAATGACGAACGTCGTGGCATTGTACACAAGCGTGCCATCGCGATGAAATAAAATTAGGTTGGAAAGGCAGTGGGTTCGAGTCCCACTCGGAGCTACTGTAAAAACGTACCGGTAAATCAAATAAACTGAAATCCCACAAACCATAACAAGTAAACAGAGAATGTCGCGAACAAATATTAAACCTCACGAAACTCTACCATGCAAAAATGAATAAATAAATAATAAAATAACTTGCTCCTTAAACTGAATGACACGCAATTTGTTTCCAGATCGTGACAAGAGATAAACAGAAGACCCAAGACAAGGAAAGTTTTGTTAAAGTGTCGGTGACGTTCCCGATATTACGAAAACAATTCAGGCAACAGACAAATGTCTTCTGTGGGGTTGTTTCTATTTATACGATGTCTATGGAATTGTTGATTGAGGGTTCAAAGTCAGCAGTTAACATTTTGTTAGAAAGTTTCACAATTTAATCAAATATCTAATGATACCAGTATATTTATTTCATTAGTTTAATAACTTGCAATGGTGGAAGTTGATCAAACACTACTTCTTACACCTAAATAAGTATAAAATATTAGTCGACACATTTATTCTCTCAATTTAACAACTTGTTAATGGTAGAAATTAATTAAACACTGTGTTTACACCAAAATAAGTCTTAAATATTTGTCCACACATTTATTTTCACAATTTAACAACTTGTAATGGTGGAAGCTAATTAAACGTGACTTGTCTACACGAAAATAAGTATCAAATAATTGTCCATACATTTATTCTTTCAATTTAACAACTTGTAATGGTGGAAATTAATTAAACATGACTTATTTAATTATTTGACATCATTCCAACTTACCCACAGACAGTGCACAAGAGAGTATCATTATTGAGCTACGATTATTAACAGGAATGTGTCTCGGCATTAGGGTTAGGGTCGGGTCAGGTATGGGCAACGCAATTATTCACAGGAACGTGGCTTGGCATGAGGGTTAGGGTCGGGTCAGGTATGGGCAACGCAAATATTCACAGGAACGTGTCTTGGCATTAGGGTCGGGTCAGGTATGGGCCACACAAATGGCAAACACAAAATTTGCAAGATGTACATTAATGGGTTATGGCATGCATATAGTTTACACAAGGAGAAAACACCAAATTGGCAATATTATTGACAATTGTGATTCAATAATAGAAATATGTTGTACCGTATATCTTTATATATACACACACTATGTAGTCTCATCAAATGCCAAGACAAGCAGTCAGTCTATCGTGGTCTTCTGGGTCAGTTGTCTACATAGTGATCCTGACGACCTGGGTTCAATTCTCATCCCTGCCTGTCTTTTTCTCGCAAACACTAACTTGCAATACAGCTAAGTATGACAACAAACTATTCGTTTACATGACTGCCCACGTGGTTCAGTGAATTTGTTCACTGTCAGCAATGTTAGAGATCGCTGGTTTGAATCCAGTGGTTAGTACGATTTTTAAATGCTAGTGAGAACAGTGCTCCTATAAACTATAAAGGACTTAAATCCTATCACTTGTGTGAAGACGCTCATGGTACAGTGGACAAGACAGTGCGCTGGAAACTTAAAGATTGCAAGTTTGAATCACAGACTAGGCTGGACACTCCTATAAAAGATATGAAAAACGTTAAAGACATATACAGTGTCAGTATATCAAGAACTCAAGTCTCCCAAATAAAAGAACACAAAAATACGAGCTCACATGGAAGCCAAACATAGCCGACGAAGTGGACGTTGACGTACGAACATAGTTGACAGCTGCAAGTCACATGCAACAACAGACACGAAAATCATTGCTGCTCTCCAAATGGGGCCCTTCTTTTGTATTTACCCTCTAAGGATTGCTAATTCCCCTTTTCTATCTCTTGCCCCCAAAAATAATATATCGCCCCTTTTAGAATGTATTGGCTAATTAATGAATATTCATGAGCACAGAAACTGACACATCATGAACAAATTAGCATAATTTAAAAAAAATTTGCATAAAGTGTAGGTACGTCTTCTGGAATTCTGCCGGAACATTTTTAACAGCTATAATAAACAATGCAACAATTAAATCCCAAACTGATTTTAAATTGTATCAATTGGGGGTGTGTTCCAAATATAAATATTTCATTTCATCTCAATTACTTTTAATAAAAAAGTTATTGTACATTATATTGTTTTTGATGAATATCTACAGCTATGGTTTATACGGTCAATACCGTAGACGATTTTGGCCTGATAATCAACAAACATCACACGTCTGCAGGACAAGCAACCGGGAAAAAGTTACTGGTACTAGTTACTGGTGAAAGACAAATCATCACTCTCGGAATAACCATGCAATATAATGACCTGAACCATTTAAGCCACAATATAATCATAAAAACAATAGATGAATTTCTGTGCAATTGACAATGATTTTATCCATTTGTTTAATATCTAACAACAGTATAATCCGCCATTTTATTTGAATGTGTTTATGACTTGACTCTATAGTAGAAAGTCTGTGTTTCGTTGACCAGTCAGAGTAGGTCTTGTTGAAATCTTGTTACATAGGCATTGGTTCAGATGTATGTGGTGATTGTTAAAGAAAAGAATACTGAATCACAAGTACATTAAAAAAACAAAGGAAACATAAAAAACAATAACAAAAAACAAAATAATTTAATAGAATAGTAAAAATACAATAAAATATAACCTGTATTGGTGCTGTTTCATGATTTATGCAATAAAATTTAAAAAAAAATGACGAACATTGATTTTTACTTCACAGATTATAAAACATACATGCAGCTTCTACTTTCACCTACTCATCTTTATCCTGTTCGTTTTATTCCTACAGCCCTTGACACTACCAGATAATTTTGCACCTGAAATGTTCACACTTGTTAGAAAGGTGAGTATGTCTCAGATGTGGACTTTTGTTATTTTCATTTCATGCAATAAGTATGTATTGTATGTGATATGCATGAAGAGCCATTTATGCAATAACCATGTATTGTATGTGATGAGCAATGAAGAGGCATTCATG